CTCAATCAAATAGATAGTGTCTCTAGATTAGATCGGAATTCAGAAAATCCAGTCTAATTGATTGATACGTGGAAAATAATTGAGTGATACTCCACGGGCTATGCTAACCTTGAATAGCGTACTCTAGCATTGTATCACTTCATTATCACAAACAGGGCTTAATTTTATGGTGATGAGGGCTTTTCTTGTAGTTCAGCACATGATCAGAGAGATAATGTTTCATTGGAATTAATAAAATCTGATTGTGTTGCAGATACGTGGAATACCCCACGACCTATGCATAACCTTGAATAGCGTACTCTGTCGCCCATGTTCACAAAGTTACGATAACTTTTCATAAACATTCAAAAGAATGTTACAACGGCAATCAGAGAGACTCCATGACGTCATAGATTATACAGATAGTGTCTCATTGAAATTCAAACAATCTGATTGACAATTAAAACAAAACATTACATTAACTGATACGCATAACATGTATACCCTACTGGCTATGCGTATCTTTATCTGTACAGCCGGTATAACCGCCCTTTGGCGTAACATACCAGCTAACATTGAGTAGTGAACTCTAGCAAGTGCCAAGAAAGTTAAGATAAGAATTCATGAACAGTCAAATGAATTTTTCAAGGGCAACCCTCGTAATCCCGTGACGTCATAAACGAAACACCTTGGGATGAACGTAACCTTGAATGACGTCACAACTGCTCTAAGGACAAGTATCAGCATATCCAGTATGACTGCCCTTTGGCTTTTAAAACATACCAGCTTTGCAGACATCCGGTGGCATCTGTTATGGGGTGCATGGTGCTTTCAAATTTACACACAGAACGACTTGTCACACCTAACCTTTGCACATCTGACTGTAAGCGTGGTTAAAGCTATTCTTCAACTTGAAGAAGGACATTCTTGAGTACACGTCGATGAAGGTTAGACATCCAAGTAATACGATACACCAAAAAGCAGTTACTCAAGCAACTGGTCAGACGTTTCAGCTCGTATTTAATTCACTAGCTTTCGTCAGTGACTGAGAGCAGAGGAGAAATGCAGGTTTATAAGCACATACTATCAATAGTTTCATATGGTCCAAAAGCATATCCAGTTGCTTGAGTAACTGCTTTTTGACATTCTTGAGCAGTTAACACGCCGTAAAAAAGTCAGCAGTCTTGTGACGAAGGTTGCTGTCAATCTTCCTAGGGGGTCCTTTCTGTCACAGTCTGCCTGAAAAGGTTCCTTCTGTCACAGATTGCCTGGAAACCCTACACTGTGACAAAAAGCCGCATGACGAATTTATGTGACTGCGCCCTAATAGCAACCATTCATAATGTATGAACAACAGGCAACCCGGGGATCTTAACAAGCGTGGGAGAACTGAATGTAAAATAGTAATTGATGAAATATACCTATTAGGATCCCCCATATTACATGATTTAAATTATGCCGGTATTAGTGTATCTCCTACTTGTTCCAATCAGGCGCCTGGGTCCTTTATCTAGAGCAGGCAAACACTGAAGACAAATTACACATATTAGATATGGTTTTAATAAGTGTCAATTAGTATCTTTTTGATAAGGTGGTATCATGGTAGGTGCCATACATTGTACCCTGTACAACTGTTGTGCACTGAAGCTATCTGTTATGTAGAAATGTCGAGCTCCCCGACAGAGAACACATTACCGGTAAACTCTGTACATGCTTTACACTTGAAATAGCCCTTGATTGTAACCATACATCACTGAACGGTGCGATTTTTCCAGGCGCAATCTTAATAAGATCACTGCCTGCATTCACCGAGAAAAAAGGCCGCGCGTCATTCGCAATTCTGCCGGTCTTTGAGCGGCGCCCAAACATAATTATAACCTACGACTGAGAGCTCCCAAATGCCATTAAACAAATTGTTCCCCATTTTTCTCTTGAGCATTGCTTTGCCTTTGCGTCACTTGGAAACAACGGCCAGCGAAATAAGGGATAGCTTTGCGAAAAAGGCCGGGCGTCATTCGCCATTCTGCCGTTTTTGCACGGCGCCCAAACATAATTATAACATACGACGAGAGCTCCCAAATGCCATGAAACAAATTGTTTGCCATTTTTCTCTTGAGCATTACTTTTGCCTTTACGTCACTTGGAAACAACGGCCCCCGAAATAAGGGATAGCTCTGGGGGATACATTCATTCTCATTCACATAAAGGGATAGGAATGTAGTGGGTTATAGAGGGCATTCTCGTGACAGAGATCTGAATATCAAGTTTCAGGAAATTTTCTCTTGAGCATTACACACCTTTTTTGCGTCACTTGAAAACAACAGCCCCCGAAAAAGGACTAGCTTTGGGGGATTCGTCCATTTTCATTCACATAAAGGGATAGGAATGTAGTTGGTTACAGAGGCCATTCTCATGACATAGATCTGTACATAAAGCTTCAGGAAGTGCGTAAAGATCAGACAGGTGTGATGCAAACTTTTGGAGATTGCCAAAGAAGATTATACATATGACGTTAAAAGCATTGCTGGACAGGGTCCAATGTTAAATTCATTGTAAACCCCTCGAGCGGTACGAAGCAAGGTTATCGACTATATACAGTGTAAGGACCGCTCTGATTTCATACCTACTGCATCAGAACGAAATAAGGTGAAGGTTATTTAAACTTTGATGCTATATGTGAGATAATGGCATCCCAGAGCGACAGCAATGTGCACTTAGCTCAAAGTTGTAGCCTTAATGGTCAATTTTTACATATGATGTTTACAGCAAGGTTTACTCACTTACGCTATGGACATCAAAAGTCACTAAAGCACTTGATAGTTTGATGGAGTTTGGGAATTGTTGCAACTTAAAGTGAGCCTTAATGGTAGATTTACATATGATGTTTACAAGAAGGTGTACTCACTTACGCTATGGACATCAAAATGTCACTCTAGCACTTGATAGTTTGATGGAGTTTGGAGACTGTTTCAACTTTAAGTTGAAGCCTTAATGGTAGATTTACATATGATGTTTACAGCAAGGTTTACTCACTTACGCTATGGTCATCCAAATGTCACTCTAGCACTTGATAGTTTGATGTAGTTTTGGAACAGTTTCAACTTTGGTTTTAACTTAATTCGTGGTTGAAGTCACCTTGAGTTTCTTGATGTTAAGTGCAGTATAGTGAATGATGCATGTTGGACGTCATAACAAAGAGACAAGCAGTCGGGTGTAGAAATCATAGAGTCCCAGAGGAAGACAGAGATGCCTTTAATCATCATTTGGTTGTGAAGTTCACCAACCTCTGTGCGATACGTTTCTTTGAAACTACTTTTGCTCTCGAGTTTCGGCACCTGACAGTCATTGGAGGCATATTCTAGTCACTTTTTCTATTGGATTTGCTCACTGAATGGCAACTTCTAGGCACCAAACTAAGTTCGGGTTGCTGGAACAGCATTTCTCCTCCAAAGGTTAGAAACTTTAAAAATATACTTCTGAAAATCTTTCCTCACTGAGAGTAAGGGCCAACTTTCTCAACAGACTCTTGGCCAAGATTAGCGGGCAAGCAGTATTCTTGCAGCCTACAAAATCCCATTCTCCAACTGAATTTCAATATGCATCAACGTTTCCTAACAGCAATGAAGAAAACTTTATTCCCATTTGTACTTGGGAACTTTCCAACAGCAATGTTCAGGCTCTGCACGTGTTATAAGACTAGGCATTGGATAATTGCCTCCATCGCTTTTTCCATCCGGTTCTGGAAACTTTGCCAGAAACTTAAATAGCTTCTTAGTGTAGTCTATTGAAATTCGGTGACAATTTTAATGGTACAGCTAGCGTCGTTTTAAATCACATACCTGCCAATTTTTAAATGGTATAGAAAGATGCTTTTACTGGTTATCGGGCGTTCTATTCATATTTTGGAAAATGGCAGCGTTTAGAATTAGGTGCACGTAAAGTAATTTTCCGCCTTTAGTTTCTATTTTACCTGTGCATAGTTCTAGCATGTACTATTCGTGGTTATGCTTTTGAATGGTTCTGCCTTTCGAGGGATTGTCATACCCATCACATCCGCAAGGAGGCACTGCTTGATCGTTAATGTTATTCTGAATACTTATCCTGAGGCGTCAAACTTTTGATCGACCTTATGTTCAACTGTAACAAATGGTCTGTGATGCAATGCAATACAATTACAATTCTCGTTGACCTGGTAGAAAATTCTATACCATAGGTCATGCATTCAAATCGAATCAGAGGGCAAGGGGCAAACGATGGTCTAGTTATTACATGTCTAATGACATCTTTGTCATGGCAAAAATTTCTTAGGTCAAAAGGTTAGTGAAGAATAATCAACATTTAGAAAGTCTGTGACGACTAGACTGGCCATTTTGGCACTTCCACTAAAACCTTATTGGTCAGACAGACATGGGTTGAGCCCATAATATCATTACAGTTGGCAAAACCTTTCTCAGGTCCAAAGGTTACTGTAGAATAATCAAAGTTTATAAAGTTTGGTCACTTTGGCAATGTCGACTTAACGATCTCTTTGCTGAGATAGCTTTTTGGCAGCAAACTGTGTATTGGATACAGAGTTAGGCAGTAGGAATTTGGTCAGAAAGAGGGTTGATCATTACAGTTGGTCCAAGATAGTTGTAACTAACAAGAATATTCAATGGCTAAAAGTTCAAATTTATTTCAAACTTCACATCATCAAAAGTTCCAATGGCTTTCCTTTAGCTGCAACTATTCAAGTCCATTGTCATAGCATATGTATACAATATATACACAATTCCTCTTTCTCATCATTGGTATCAAATTGTGTGTCAAAACCAACATCTGTTGGTCATAGTTACTTTCTAACTGCAAGAACAGCAAAAGTAAGGATACTGCAATTTTCCAAAGGCGTCCACATTCCACTTTCTACAATACAGTGAATCTCTAACATTGACATTATTAGCGCCATGGTGCATCCGATAGATTGCAGTTTCAGAACAGCATGCTTTGCTGAAAACTGAAAGAGGCAGTTGAAGTTTGTCTTCAGACATCTTTAGCAAATTTCGTCAGTAAATCTATAAGGCTAAAAGCTTGTATGTTTCTTAGATTATAGAGACCTCCATGTCCTGACGCTTTAGATCCATGACCCACCCAATCCATGCCTTCATTTCTGCATTTAGCAGTTTATTTGGGATCTTCTGTTTCTTGTCTCCTGAGTAGCGAATCTCAGTGTTGGGGTGGTCAATGGATCGTCTTTGTTCTTGTTGCTGACCAGGTACTGGGTCTGGCAACTGTGAGATCGCTGGTAGAGACATGCGGGCGTCTCGAGTTTTCATTTCTGGACGAGGCATGTGTTCGTGATCTCGCGGTGAAGAGAAATCTCGCGAAGGTTCGCGTGACAGGCGAGAGTTTCGTTTGGGCATGCCGGGTAGCGGGTGCCCTACAACCGCCCTGGGTGTGATCAGTTCCTCTTCTATGGACGACACCGAACGCGGGTTCGATATGACGGAAATTCGCGAGTCCTGCTTGTGAAGCCACGCTCGGGAACGTTCGGGGGCATCTTCGGGAAACTTCGGCCGGGACGCCGACTCGCCCGAACCTTCCCGACGATGCACGACGACGGGGTTTCCGTTTCGCGTCGCCTGACGATAGTAATCTTCGTGCGGAAAGACCAGTCTGTAACGCATCGAGTCCTGCGCTTCTTTCTTTCCGTACTTGTACAAGCGACGCGATTGGTGCGGCCCGTCGGTGACACTCCTCTCTTGCTGCTGCTGATTGGCCAGCCTCGCCGACGGCATGATGACGTCACGGGAAGACATTCGACGGATTTGCTCCCGTTGCCTGGTCTCGAAGAGAGACAGATCTAGAGAAGTCCGCGGCCCCTCGAACATAGAGTTCGACCTCTGTGGCGCCTTGCGATTGTTCTGTCTTTCTCCCCTCCCACGATACAGCGAATCTGCCGTGGGGGAAGTCGAAAGGGAAGAGAAAGTCGACAGCATGCGGCTGCCTATAGCTGAGGGGGTCGCGTCGCTGATGGTCGAGCGGAACTCGGTCTGCTCCCAGAGAGAGATGTGTTTGTCGAGTTGGTCGAGGTGCTCCTGCCAAGGGGCGCTTACGCCGGACTCGTCGGCGTTGGTCCTACCTCCTTCCGAAGGAGAGCCCGCCTTCTTGCGGTGCGAGTTCGTGTTATCTGGAAAACACGGGCTCATGAAGCTGAGAAGAACGGGTAGAAAGAAGAAGCTGTGCGCGGTGCTAAACAGCGCGGTAAGGAGAATTATCCTGAAGAAGATGCGGTACGTTTCGGCGGGAAAGACTGCTAGGAGAACCACGCTAAGAATGGTCGCGACGGCCGGCTGGGCCATCGGCATGCCTGCAGCATGCATTGCCGCTACAACGCGGTTGTTGGGTTTCGAAGTCCGGAGAGCCAGCACGTAAGCGTACGTCACGTGAGCCGGGAGGTCTGTTGCCATGGCGACGCTTGCCAAGATGGCGGCTGTCGACACGACGTCGAACTTGACATCCCAGAATGCCATGTACCCTATGACCCCCACCATGACGGACGCGCCGGAAATGACGACAACGAATCCTCCCGTCCAATGGGGGATAAGGAGAAACGTAGCACCATAGATGACGGCAGCTGCAATGCCTATCAGCATAGCAGCTTCGGGAAGTACTGTTGTTGACTGCTCATAGAGGGCAAACTGAGGAGCGTACGCTACCATCTCTACGCCCCCTGTCGCCGCGATCCGACGAGCTTCTGTCATAATTTCTCTTTGGCGCGAATTTGTGCTGGCTTCCTTTGCTAAAACCGTCACTCGTGAAGTTTCTGTGTAACTGCGTAGCCAAGCGTCGTAAGTGTTGTGAAAGAGCGAACTTTGCTTGAACGATTGGAGCTTCGCTTCGACCTCATCTCGGACCTCTTGCTCTGAAAGGCTTCCTCTGTTCCTTACGACTAGGTCTATCCTCGGTCCGTACTGGGAGAAATACTCAGTCTCTTGGGTGGCGAAAAGGGAGATATGCGAATCATCGGCGGCAAGATTGTTATGGTTCAACCCTGGTGCAACAAGAACACATCCCCGTATCGCAGCGCCTAGGTAGGCTAGGTAGACTAGAACGATGACGAACTTCATCCATGGATTCTTCAGCCATTGTCCGAAGTAGGAGGAGAAAAAGTCCGCGAGAAAAGGGTCTGCTGTTTGGTTATTCGCGGGGTTTTGTGGTGAGTCTGTTTGTTCCGTTTGGTTTTGGTAGAGCGGGAAAGTCGAGGCCGAATGCAGGGACGCGTTTTTCACTCGAGGTATCACCTTGGACGGTTTCAGCAGTAATGGGTTCTGCATGTCCTCTTTTGTAGCGTTACGCATTACCGACAGCCGCTTCTCGACTTGTGCCGACGGCATCCCGTCCCCGGCACAACACAGGGCGTAGCAGGACGATTGTGAGGAGGTTCTAACGCGAACGCAGGTCAGACAGTGTCGGTTCCCGTCTTCTCTGTGTCCCGACAACGCCAGGAAAGCCGCGAAGAACATAAGCTGGTACACGCCGCAGAACGCCGCAGAGGTCAAGGCGAGGACACAGAACGATCTAACCGCGGGGAACGACGTTGCCATGCCAACGGCGTACGTGACGTAGTCGATCAGGGAGCCAATGGTCATGGGGCCCGCGGCGTCTGCCATGGCTGCGCCCATGCGATGACGGACGGAGAGGGTCGGGTCTGTCCTTCGCCATGCCCACAGCAACGTGTAGGTGTTACCGACTTTGCTGCCTGTGGATTGAAATAAAGTAAAAAGATCATAAACACATGAGTGGGTCTGAGTTTGTCTGTTCTATGTACGTGCATTTGCCTGCAAAATCATAGGTCTGAAGAACCAAAGGCCTGTACTTATGTTTACCAAACGCATGGCAAATGACCTAGACCAGACGTCTATCACCATGGTAACTGGTGCTGTAGCAGACACCTTTCGGTTTTGGGTTACATTATTTTGCAAATTGCAGGGAAAAGTTGGTGAGGCTGGTCACCATATATATGAATGCGTTTGAGTAAGAATAAGCCGAGCAGTAGTTTGTTGGGCTACACCATGTTTTTTAGGTATTAAACATTATGCGTTTGCTTTGCAAATGTTACCTTTCTAGTTTACAGAGGCTATATGATTAACGATTATGACAGAAATCACCTACCTGTCAAAATAAAAATGGCGGCCATTTCAAGGATGCTCAACTTCTGTCCGCAGAGCTGCAGGAGGCCCACTGCTGACGTCAGAGCCATGAGTGACGTCAGCGATCCCATAAGGCCCAGCCACGGCTCGGACCGAACACAGTCCACCATCATGCATGACAAGACCTGGAAATGGAAGAGGTACGACATGGAGGTCAAACATGGGACTGTGACTTAGTTTAGCGCCCGTGTTTAATACACACGTGTTTAATGTTGGTGCATTAAACACGTGTGTATAGTCAAAATATATTAATATTTGCTGCAAGATCATCAAAGAATGACAGGACTTGAATTGAAATCTCTATCTATCTATCCGTCTCTCTATATCTATCTATGTGTCTATCTAACTATCTCAATCTATATATCTCCATCTCCATATCTATCCATAAAGATTACTCTCTCTCCTCTTCTCTTCTCTCTCTCTCTCTCCTCCCTCTCTACTACACACACACACACACACACACACATATATATATATCTATACCTATTTATCTATCTAATATATCTCTACCTATCTACTAGTATATAGACAGATAGATAGATAGATTTTG